GTTAATACAAACACAATAACGTTCCATGTTGAAAAAGACTTGGCAGGTATGCCAGGTTAATAAGGGCATTCTTTTACCACTGGTCAATCCGTAGCTTAATAGGAGCTTAACAGCCCGTAACCGTTGCAAGAGAGTTAAGTAATCAATAATCAACGTCTGTACTTTAGGGAAAAGTGGGGCCAGTTGCATCATGTCCAAGTAGTACCAGGACAGTTTATTCCAAATCTGTGCGACGGATGCCAGCCTTGAACCCCTGAGCTGACTGACAGCAGCTCCCCTGCCTTTCAGTGTGCCTGCGGCGGCATGCGTACACGCGTCTTGGGACGAGTGCGACGATTTGTTTTGCATAGCATTGAAAACGATGACTGTCGGTGTAATTGTATTTGAGGACTTACAGCATAATTCGGTCAATATGAATGCTACATTGGGTGGTGGAGAGGTGTTTCTATCGGATATACTGCAAAACGTCTGGTGTTCTTTTCCAAAGATTTCGGGGCGCCGTGAACGTTCTTCCAAGATGCCCGGCAGTACATGTTGCATAAGTTATGCATAAGAGATGTTGTTCAGTGACACGACGCACCAAAAATACGTGGTGGACAGACTTATTAGCAATGATTAAAGGACTTAATTGCAATGACTTATTGTCATCCAGAAAACGGGTCAACAGTTGCATTGCTTATGCATGCCGGTCGTTCCTAGAGGAGTAACCGGAGCGGAAGTGAGCATTGTGCAACAATGATTGATAAAAGGGCAAAAATGTGTTATGTCGCAATCACGACAACTTGCGAAATTACACACGGGAAGCACATTTGATCTCCAAATCGTAACGTATTCAGCTTGCTTGCGACGCAATTTTCTCCATGATAAAAATAACGTAAGCTTAAGATTCCCATCAAGCATTGCACTCTTTTTCCCTCCTTCTTCTTTCACTCTTTTTGATTCCCATCAAGCACTCATATAATTTATCCAAGGGTGAGGCAAGTCATCTCGTTTGAAAGGAGGCCATTTACAACACGACTGTTTTAAAAAACCAAAACGTGCTCTACAAAACTTTACTGCCACATACGAGGCTCCAGGAATTAGCTGTCTGGAGACATAAGAATCCTAGCCGTATCCTTAATAGTTATAGCAGGAGGAAGTATAAAGTGAAAACTTATGCACCTTTCCCTACTCTCCCCTATGTCTGTTACATTGTTCCTCGACGTTGTGACTGATCAGAAAGTCTGCCATTTAATGCAATCATACATACTTCTAACTATAAACATCACATTTTCCACAAACAGTTGTGTCGAATATACACAGAAGCGTATTTCTCTGACGTGAATCAAACTGTTAATGATGACGACACCTAGGTTACCTTGAATTCTGCCAGACTGTTCGGTCGCCATGGTAGAATATGAACTTTATTGTTGGTTGCTTTGACATATTATAACTTTGCAACTAAAAGGCGTCGAAGCGTATCAGGACAAAATCGAGGAACGTGTCCTGATATGAGCTACTAAATATGTGCAGATTTGTCCATCGCCATGGGGCTAGTTTCATAGCACGTCCGTCCCTGTTCGGACCCGCCGACCTAGCAAAAGGTGACCGGGCATCGCAACCCTTCATCAAGGCCCATAACAGAATGCAGACTGCAGAGTACGGTCGGCTGCAGTATAGAGGCAAGGCATTTCCACACTGATTCCCTGTTTATACAAGACTGTCATAGTTTTCTATCTACGAAAACGTGCGTCTATTTGTATGTCTGTCTGTCGTTTTTTGCTTGTTGATCCGTGTGCAGGTCAGACGGAATGCAGAAAAAGACGGAAATGTTCACAGCGTGCGTGTACGAGCGTGGGAAGTGTGCATGCGTGGGGAGTGTGCATGCGTGCCGAAGGCTCTACGATAATTGATGATCGCCTTGGGCTGCTGGGAATGTCCGCTCAGGCCCATAGGGCTACCATTAGTCATACACCTGGGAGAGACAAACTGAGGGGCGGTCAGGCCGTCGAACAGATATTCACTTTGCTGCGCGAGCAACGATGAATCTTGGGATCCACATTGATAGGAAGACCTTGATTCATGTAAAACCACCTTCGTATGAAATGTAAGGTCGTAGACCGAGGATGGTAGTAGGGACTGGATGTGTTGGTGACTTCTCCAGCAATACCTGGCGCTATCGGAGATGTCGCGGCACTGAGTGTTTGACAAACTATGACTTGTGGATAAGGCAATACTAAAAGCCTTATTCCTCGAAGAATAACCAGAAAATTAAGATAGATGAATTGATATTTTGGCTGCATGCCTTCCATGCAGCATGCCGTATGCTACAATCAGTAGTCACTACTGATAGTCATTTTCATAGACGTACGTAAAAGAGATATCAATCCATGTTTTCCTCCTTTCTCTGGTTATTCTTCGAGTAAAAAGGCTATATATATATATATATATATATGTATACATGCATATATATATATATATATATATATATATATATATATATATATGGCTAAATACACACATGATGCTCCTTGTAAATGCACTTAATTTACGTCAACATTAATTGTAGTTCCGATGGAAGCTGTGCGGTGTTGTAGTATTGTGGCCGTGATAATATGGTCAATAAATACAACGACGAGGGTAGAGGCAACACGACTGGGTTGAAATTCCCAGCATTCAAAAGCGGGCGCGGTGATAAACCACTGAGAAGCAAGCACAGACCGTCTTGTGAATTTTCCAAGGGTTGTGTGCCATCTTATGGAAGATCGGGCTGATTTTGTGAAATGTGCATTCAGATGTTACCAGTATGCACCGCATAACTTTGGAGGTGCTCCAAAAATATGTTGTGACCATCCAGCACGCGCCTTCAGCAAGTAGTGAGTGAACGCGTATATTTTTGCCGCGGCGGACTCGACGGCGAAGGCCTGATTTTAGCCCCATAGACTGCTAGAGGCAAGCATCCATCACTGTGCACAGAGCGGGGCTGTGTGGTGATAGAAACCCCGGTAGCACGTATTCCTCCTTACCAAACATACGGAATGAATTAGTATATGCGTGAATAAATGTTGACAGAAAAAAGCTCCAGGTGGGCGCGTAAAGATAAGATACAGAACACTACGGCACGGAAGACTTTTTGTACTCCTGCCGCGTGCTCGACTCAGTTTTCAGCGAGCATTTTTGAGTCGTGCCTCCCTGCCCGGGATGCGTAGAAATGAGACGTGTATTCGGGGCCATCGCAAAAAATCTGAATGACATGACTGCGTTGGCTAAGGCCGCAATTACGTGGGTGTGCCAGGAAAGTTTACGGCAGTTGTTTGGGAACATGTGCCCCGCATTCAATAATGATAGCCAAAGATAGACTGGCACGGACGATGTTCTGTACGGACCGTGATAGGTCACTCTGTAAAGAGGTTAGTTCGACAGCACATCACACAACAGCTGAAGGGCGTAAACACAGGGTGAAGAACAGGGTTAAGGTGAAGAACACATGAAAAGTTGCTCTTGTCCCCCCCCCCCCCCCCGCCAGGAAAATCCGCAGTGACGAGTACTGAGTGACTACCGCATGAGCGCTCAGGTACATACAAGATCCATAAAATCTTATATAAGCATAATGATGCTCCATAGAAAGAACCGAGGGACAAGTGGCGTTTGCCTCCAAAACGCCTGCGATGATGTATCGTTACTGACAGCAATTTGACACAAGGTCGAAAGATCCCAGGGCAATAGGACAGATCTCGCTTACAATTGGATGTCACCTGCGTGGTGACACGTTTGTCACGTTCGGGTCTGAACATTTTGCGTTGACCCACCAGCTTGATTTGCTGCATTTTTACGCAGCCTGTCTTGTCTCCCGTGTTTCTGGTCACAGCTGCTCACGAAATTGAACCAATCAGAATGGGGTGCAGCAGAACCGTCACAGACGTGAACAGCACCTGCTTGCAACATCTCACTTCTTTGCCACAACCTACGGAGACAAGGTGAAACTCTTTTCGCCTAGTTTTTGCCCACTCCAGCGGGAAACATGTTATAATTACGAAGCATCAATTAGATAAGACATTAGTAATAGCCTCATTCCTCGGAGAAAAACCATGAGAGTGGAGAAATAGGTTGGTTGATATTTCGGCAACCTACCTTTATCGAAACAATAGAAGTCTTAACTTCCGCTATTGTTTCGATAAAGGCATGTTGTCGAAATATCAACCAATCTATTCCTCCAATCTCCTGGTTTTTCTCCGAGGAATAAGGCTATTACTACTATCTTATCTATGTGAATACTGTTTCACGCGAATGCACTGGACAACTTACGTTATTTTGAAGCGTCAATTACGTAAATGTCAATCACAATCGCGTTTTACCGCCGCCAGTCCATGCAGCATTCATGTCTAAAATGGGATGTTTTGTTACAGCACGGTTTTTTGGGGGAGGCGGGCATGGAGTTGTTTCGTTCCCTCACTTAAAATACGGACTCTGAAGCATCCAGGACGCTCAGGAGCCGACAATGAGACCGACGCGGCGGCCACGGAGCTCTACAACAAATAAAGGGGCCACATGCAATGAAGGTATTTGGGAAACCTCAGAGGCCTCCTTTGCAGATCAGCTCTGAGAAGACTTCAGAAACGGCTGGGCGCAGATGGAAATAAAGAGGAAACGGACGAGGGCACCGAAAGCGTAAGCGGGCCCTAAGCCGGTCAAATGTTTGTCGTGAAATACCGCACAAAGCAAATATGCGCCAATAAACCGACAATTTGAGACGCAACTACTGCTCACTCGCGGTGCTTACGCCCGCACAAGTTCACATTTGTCTCCAGTCGCCGTGTGCTGAGACGCACGCACGATGTGCTGAGTCTGCGCTACTACTGCGTCCGCGTACGGAACCCCCGCTGGTGTCGGCGAACCACCTTCGCTCCCACATGAATGATGCATGATGAGTGCGGGAGCACCCGTGATTGCCCTCACCACGCGCCGTCGCCTTACTAGGCGGACGGCTGAAGGGCCGATATATGATCGGTGTGTTTCACGTTCCATGTTGTATTGTATCAGCAGAAGGGCAGCACATACGCTCAAGAACAGGAAACAAGGAGCACAGCGTGCGGCTCCAGCGGCTCCATAAGCTGCACAAATCACAGTGCACGCGTGCGCCCTCCTCTTCACGCCAGTAATGGCGCCCGTCCGACAGATGGCAGGGCGCCCACGCGCCACGGCCGAGTGGTGGGCGGACGCCCCGGCGGGCGGGGCGGTGCGACGGCAGGCCATGCACGATGAGCGCCGGCTCCTCCCTGACCGGGCCGCTGACGCCGCACGTCCACGGTAAACACGCATCTACGCCACGCGCTTAGCGGTCGGCAGGAATGCAGCGAATCGTTTCGTAGCCAGCAGCGTGACGCCGACCGTCTCCGCATGTCCGGCCGGGCCGAGGAGCCCCAGCCGGGCCCCGCTGCGTGCCTTGTCGAAGGCCGCCATCTACGCCGACTCGGACGGCGCCTTGCTGAAGTGGTGACGAGCGAACGTTTCCGCCACGAGCAGTGGGAACACGAGAGACGCCTCGGCGTACACCTGAAACGGAACGGCTGCCAACAGTCCGCGGGGCACGAGGGACAGCGCCGCCCACAGCGCCGCGTCGTCACAAGCTTTACATGACGGTGCGTCAGGACCACCGGGCTTCACGACTCAACAGTGAGATCATTGCGTCTCCGAATGCGGAAAGGCTATGTGATCTTCGAGTCGACTGCCACCAGGCAATACAAGCCGACTTTATTAACCGGCCGGGGGTTCTGAGACAACCGGGCTCGGATGGGGGGGGGGGGGGGCGGGGGAGGGGGAGAAAATGACCCCTGGGATCTCCATTTTGCGGACACCCTATGACAACAATAACCTTTTGAAGGCATCGTCAAACCATGAGAAACGCACACAAAATTGTTTACTTTGGGTCAAATTTGAGGCCACCCCGAGGGTCACAAAAGGTCGAAAAGGTCGTTCCGATAGATGCAGTTAAAACCTATGTTAACACGTCAAGGCGAATTTTGAGGGCTTGGAAATAAACATTAAGACTGTGAGGAGTCAGTTCCGACCATTTCTGTTCCACCCGCATGGATCAGATCAGTTTCAGCGTTCAAAATTGTGCTACCAGTAGCCTACAAGAACGATGATTTTCTTCACTATGCGCCTCTGACTAGGTCTATTCTTTAAACGCAGCTGTGGACAGAGGTATTCTAGGCACAAAACTCCCATTTTCGGGTGTGAACTAGGGTCGTTTGAGGTCAATTTAACTTAAATTAAGTAACTTATAGACTATCCAAATGAAGAAATTCGAGGGTGCCAACCGGCTCTATGTGACCAGTATGTTTTTTTCCTGTCATCTGCAATAGTGTGTTGTGCATCTTGCAGTACTCAATATCACATACCTGTTTGTCTACACTAAATATAGCCCAATATAATATAAATAAGGCAAGCACAGCATCGATATATCTAGATAACTGCATCCACAATACGGTGTGATCATGAGTTTTATCGTTTTATCATTTTCATGTCAAATTTACATCACCAGACTGCATACGCCAAAGGCGGTCCTTTGACTATGCTCATCTAAAAATGGACTGAGGTGGAGACCACCAGCAAACGGTGCTGGCAGCAGCATCGAAATAAAGCTCGTATGCCAGTAAACGGTCATGCAGCTGATCACCGAAAGAGGCATCAGGAGCGGTGGTGACCGCCACTACGGACCGAGGTAACACATACCAGGCGGGTTTAGCTGGGGCATGCATACCTCACCCCAACCAAATCACCACCATGACCAGCATGTCAGAACGACGAACTGAAACACACGTTGAACAGAGTAACCAATACATTGTGAGCCATCAACGCGCCCAGCGGTGTGCGGGTCGTCTGACCTTGACAGGCCGGGCGTCCACGCGGATTTTGCCCCACGAGACGGCCTCGTCGGGCCTGGCGCCCGCGTCGCTGCCGTCAAACTCGCTGGCCGTGTTCACGAACACGGAGAAGTCGGCGCCGTTCTCTGTCGGGAGCGGCGGCCGCGTCGAGGTCACCGGGCCTCGGACGCACAACACGCCACCCTCCAGGGTCCCGGTACACATCGCGCCGCACGCAGGGCGCTGGGACAGTGGGGCAGGCTTCAACCAAAGAGCGGCCTCACGATGTTTTAGATAAGCGTGCAAAAGATTCGCTGTGACTTATTTCACTGGTAACTTATTGAAACTTTTGTATTACCTTTTCCGTGTGTAACACTCGGCATCTTTAGTGTTCTATGCTTCACATTGTGGGGTTTGGGACATCATTTATTTCAACCGACATTTGGTGCACGTGTGGTTTTGACATTCGAGACCAAGGCTAAGCATAGCTTGTTGCGAGGTCCCTAATCCCATTCCCCTCAGGAGAACAGAGAAATTGGAGCAGTTATTATCAGCAGACAGATATAGAAATGCAACGTAGCTCCAGCGACACGACAATGCCTTTCCAGCCCGAGCCCTTGATGGCCAGTTATCAGTCGACCGTTTGGAACAAACCAACTTATCGAGCGATTCTTTCTGGGATGTAAGCCCACAACACCTGCCACCCTAGAGGTCACGTGTCCAGCGTTCTATACACTGGGTTGAGCGAACATGGCGGGGCACGGCTTCTCAACACATACATACAGCACTCCAGCTACGCATGACTCATGGGGCGCAGATAAGCAAGGGCGGGGAGAACGACGCAAGGTACATCAGCAACGATGCCTCATCTATTTTAACACTATCCATGGAACCGGTTCCCTCGGCGGCTGCCGGCAGCCGGCCTGCGGGCCAGCCAGCCGTCAGACCTGTGTTGCGGCAGGCGCAGCGCTCCTCCTCACCATGAGGTTGGCGTTGCAGATGTGGTGTTTGACCAGACCGCCGCCGATGATGATCATGCCCGTGCTCTGGGCCTTCATCGCCATCGAGTTGAGACGACGCAGGTCTGCGGCGCCAGCGGCGAAGCCGGTAAGAGCTGGGACACAACTGGCGCCAGCGGCACGCCGAGCCCAATACCCGCCGATATCGTACATCGGCACACCGGGCCCGACGCGCACCGGCAAGGTGCACCGCTACAGTGAGCCCAACACGCACCGGCACGGTACACCAGCACGCCGAGCCCAACACGCACAGACAAGGTACACCGACAGACCGAGCCAACAGGCACCGAAAAGGTACACCGACACACCAAGCCCAGCACTGTACCAGCACGGTACACGGACACACAAAGCCCAGCACGTACCAGCGCGGTACCACCGGCACACCAAGCTCAACACGCACCGGCACGGAACACCGGCCCACGGCAGAACATCGGGACAGCTCACGATCCACGGCCTTCTTCTGCGAGCGCATCGCCACCGGACACATACGACTGTAATGCCTTCATAATGCAGGCCTTCAATAGCGAGGTGGGCAGCTCGGCTGTCGCCGCCTCAGCACGATGGTGCCCTTGGAATTGGCTCCAGTCAATAGACATCGATCATACAAGAGGTCCGCTGGCCAGTCCCAGTCTAGTCCCGAGCCCGGAGCTCCTGTCAATGTTGGTGCGGGCGCCCTCACAGCCGCGCACACGCAAACTTATAGCCAAGAGCTGAGGCCGTTCTCCCTCTACCTGTTCTTGTCGATCTCACTTCCCTGGGGTGACACTGCCCATGACAATTCAGAAGGCGACTGGTGCCGCCGAATACGCATATTCTTCGACAAGTAACCGCATATGTAGCGTACGGGAGGCGAGCACTATGCGCGGGAATAACAGGATGGTGCTCAGCTTTGCCGCACGCTGATGCTGTCCATACCAGAATAATCACAATAGACTGATCAACTTTCTAGAACCATATTACAGACCGCAAAAGCCGCCACAGATTGCGGCATAACACAAGTATAAGGTTTTACCTTCAAAGCCCAATCGAGCAAGACCATTAAGCAGGAGACCAAAATTATTGGCAAGCTAATCACAGATATGCTGTAACTATGGTGTTCTGTTAAAAAACTTCTGTTGTTCCTTAAACGCAACGCACAAAGAACCCCTGACGTGGTTTTTCAACAAACCAAACTTGGGTTGTCCTGATCCAACTCCGCTCGAGCGGGGGGAGGGAAGCGTCCGAGCCGCCACTCACCCGAGAGGATGTCGACCACGAGGCCGGGCCGCTTGTACGAGTGGAAGAACATCATGTCCCCGAGGCTGCCGTCGGTGAGGGCCGGACTGAACACGGGGATGCTGTTCTTGGCGGCCCAGTACAGCACGGAGCGGGTGTCGCCGATCTCCCGGCCCAGCCGCTCGATGATGCGCGACGGCGACCACAGCGTGCCCTGGCGGCCGGCCAGCGTCACAGGTCAGGAGCGGCCGCCCTCCCGCCCGCCGCCGGCCTCAGACACCAACAGCCTCCACGATGGCCTGGTGACACAGTCGGCACCGAGGCGCACGTGCCGACGAAGACAGCGGCGCGCCAGCCTACCGTCAGCCCCGGCAGCACGCACGCGGCCGCAACACGCGCCGCAGACGCAACGAGGACATGCCGGCGTTGGGTGCAACCAGCCCGTCTGTGGTGGTTGCGGACTAGATAGTCTTCACCGTCATGGCGGGTGCGGAATGTCATGTGGACGGACGAAAATTCACAACGCAAGACCATAGCACACGGAAATAAACGACGTGACCACATGGTAGTGACATGCATCAGAACGGCGGCAAGAAATCAACACACTCCAGCAAGCATCTGAGAAATATCAGCAATCCGACAGTGACAGTAAAAATCACGCTTTTAATGCAAAACAGACCCGCGTGAGGTTTGTAAGAGAGGGTATAGGGACGTCAGTACCTTTTCGCTTTGTTCTTCCAACAGTTTGTCCAGTATTGGCATGACCCATGTTTCAAATTTGCAGTAGTTGTCGTTGGGTACTAGGAGATTGCCTATCCTGAATAAGACAAAACGACTTCGTTTACAAGTATTGGTGCTACCAGGCCATGATGGTAGCTTGAACTCATCTACCCATAGGTACATACCACATGTACAGTGGCACAACATGGTATGTACAGCGGCAGTCCAATTCAAGTCTCTATATGCACTCACAAGTTCAGTCACAATGTATGGACGCGGTATAAAAAGAAAGGTGGGAAAAGCAAATATCAAAACATTAAAACATCCGACGGTGCACCGGAGCGTTTAAAATTGTTGTCATGAGGAGCGGTACTCTTACTTCGTTGCCATAAGGTATCGCAGGGTATCCGGAACTCATTACGTAGGCACTGCTAAGAAGAAGTCAAGTCACTCATTCATGGAAAGTAGTCAAAGCCAAATCAGTACACTGTGAGAATGACCGCCGTTTCTACGCCGCGGGGGGGGGGCGAGGGGCGTCGGTCAGCGCCGCAGCAGCCGGCGCCACTCGCGCCTGGCCACGCACCGGTGCCGTCCGGCTCATCCCGCCCGAGGCCAGGCTGCCAGCCCTCACCGGTTTATGCCGCGCTTGCGGAGCCCCTCGCCTTTTAAGTCGAAGGCACCCACATAGGTATCTGCCAGGCACTTGATCAGGTCCTCCTCCACGCCGCCGGCCGTGGTCACCACACATTCCACCTGTTAACACGGGCGCACGCATGTCGCTGCGAAGCGATCCACGTGAATGTGAGGCATGCACCGTCACGAAGACACAGCCACAACTGTGGTGCGATGCCGAGCACGCGCCATACACACATGCATCCCGCTTATCCGGAGACAGACACAGCGGTGTCAAACAAGGCGGACGGACGTCACCAAATCATCTGCACACGGGCGAGCACATCCGAAAATAGATAAAAGAGAAGAAATTACCGACGAATCGCTTCACGCTCAGCCCAGTTCGCCTGGCGCTCGTATTCTGAGTGTGTCGCTCTCCATGTGGCGTGTTCGTGCACGTTGATGATTTCAGCGTTGACTGTATACACTACAACGTACCCACGAGACGCGAGCGTGTAACCACCCTGTCTACGGACCGTAGCTGCACTGGGACCACCTTTTCCCGGCTGCGGCTCGGTCTCCGCCGCGCCACTGACCCCGTGTGGAGACAGGCCGGGCACCCACCATCCTGTGCTGCACCAGGAAGCGGATGGTATCGCGGACGCCGGACGAGGACATGTTGGACGTGAAGGCCGAGGAAGAGCGTGCAGGCCGAGCGGCGCCGCGTGAACTCGTCGTCGCAGAGGCTGTCGTCCTCGGCGGCCGGCTGGTCACGAGCGGCCAGCTGTTGAAAACGGCGCGGGTGAGGTGCCACTCTGCGCAACGTGGTCCAGCTATGGATCTAGTACAACACGGACAGCAGCGGAACAATGCTGTTCCTGAGACTACGCATGTGATCACCTGATTGCCATAACGCTGCCGGAAGTCGACAGTGCAGGCTCCTTTTCACCAACGTGAGCGAGATGGTAAGCCAAGACAAGGCCATTGCCACTTAGCACTTCACCTCCAGCCTCACGACTCCTTCAAAATCCTTTAATATTGCTTCCGTGTCGTCGTACTCAATTACAACAAACAAGCAAGATCATCAATGTATTTTAAGGCGGGGAAAAACTGATGGCAAACAAAATGGTTCAGCTGCAATATCAAGTGGTGCGGCCGTTCAAACATCCGTGAGATGACGCCCTCAAATGCCAAATTTGGAGACGAACAGTCAACCTCTACATAGGGGCAGGGCTCAATTTCGAACAGGGGAGGACCCAGCGTCCTGATTTGTTCACGTGCAAACAAGGCTCATGAGCATAAACAGCGTGCGGCCGCGGAACCGTCAGAAGCGATATATGTCGACAGCAGACGACTCATGCTCGATTCCAAATGTCTGCCCAAACTCGGAATGGGACTGCAATCTAATCAAGTACAAGGGCTGACAAAAAAGGTCATTTGCAGCAGTGAAAATATAAGCACTAACATACGCATAAGTACTTTCACCACATGCTTACATCACTGCTGTCTTTGCTTTCCTCAGCTGGCCAGTCACTGGCTAGTGAAGACGTGAACGCCAGTACTCGAAGGAGTTGGAGACGGCCGTCCCACCTCTAGTCCCGCCGGTTAAACGCTGCGATTATCTAACAAAACCACAAGTATCGTAACTTACATTACCAATGGATTAGCCACTACCACGTTTCGTGACGTGTACTACAATACTCAAAGACAGGTGGAAGCAACATACCATCTTATTGATCTCATCGACTGCCAAGCCGAAGTTTGTGGCTTGAAACCCAGATGTAGCATAGGATCGCAGTAGCTTGTGGTAGTCGACACCCTCATTGAAGTCATAGCCTGCGAACACACAAGCAGATGCCTGTGGAAACTGTGAATTCAATCAAATTGCTGGGCACAATTTCCCCAAGGGCTAGAAACACACCCCACATGTACTGGGCGGGTTCTGCTGGTCTTGACCCCGAGGCAAGAGGCACAGCAAATTGATGAGTATGAAAGGGTGTATGGATACATTCATAATGCTGCAACACATTGGCTAGTATACATATGCTTCATATTCTACCTGATTTCAGTCCCAACGTGAGTGCACAGCTTCATACAAGCCACTACAGAAAGATAGAGTCACTGTCATAAGTAAAACGAGAAGAAAAAAGCTGATTTATTCATCTAAAGAGATAGTGGAAATGACTACACATGCTTTCTTGCAGCGACAGCACTGCTGTAACACACACCCTCTACCGTCACCGTGGCGTCTGGGAGTGGTTCGCTGCGTACAAGAACGGCAGCAGCAGCGGCGGCGCACGGGACGCCCTCGCTGGCTTCGGTGTCCGAACTCATGTCCTCAGTGGCCTGGGTTCCTGGAAATGAACCAATGTAGTCACGACAATCAATGCATGTGCTGGGCCATTTTTTTTCAACAAAATATTGCATGTTGTATGCAAACTGTGTCATGCCAAAACATCATCAAACAAGATCCAATCGCTCATCATGGGCAGATGAACAAAATGAAAATGCATAGTTCTATTTGAGATTGAGATCTGAGATTCAAACATACATAAATGACCATTCCTGGCACATCCATTGTCAACAAAGAAGTTTGGATTGAAATGTTGCCTTGCTTAAACAGGAAAACGCCTGCCTGGCTGCCTCACACAAGACCCTGCTGGGCTAAATTCATGGCTGCAGAAACAGGTATTTACCTACAAGAACTAATCCCAGGATGATAATGTGGGGACAGTTTAAAACCTTTTGGATCATTTCTTGCAAACCCTATCAGCTTAAATAATGCATGCAAATGCAAATGGGATGGCACTGTAACATCTTGTTACAAATAGATGTCACAACACAGTTTAACTTCTAAGGCAATCTTATAAGGTGTTAACTGCGCCATTGAAAAATATTAATCTTACCACTTCGTTCACTCCACAGCTTAGCATCTAAAAACACCATTTTAGATACCACCACCTCAGATGTGGACAAAACGTGGTCTACAAGGTAACTGGGTGCTCAGATCACAACGGTAAGGTTTTTAGACCCATGTGCTCAACCTCTTTCAATTCAAGCAAAATAATGTCATGAAGAAAATCTATTATTGGTGCCATTATTAAATTAGGTATTCTCCCCCCACAAATCAGTTTTCCAAGCTGATGACAAATAATCTGTTAGAAACCTCAATTTTCGAATTGTCATTCAATTCTACATCAGAAAACATCAATACAAAAGTGAAAACATTCTATACATCAGCACAATAGGATGTGATCACACATCATCAAAGCTGCCCTGGCCAATCCAGTGGCTGACCTAGCCTGTGCAAATGCTACTGGGAGCTTTGGTCACCACCTATCCTTATCCCGAACAACTCTCAGATGGCTGGATTCATTGTTTGAAAGATGACAGAAACACAGTTATCAGCCCTTCCCCAGATCCACGGACACCGGTTGTCCCAGCTGTGGCTCAGGTAGCAATATGAGCACTGTCTGGGTGGACAGGCATACATGTGCAGTGATTATCAAGCATTCATGCATTTCAAAAGGCAACATTTGTCACTAACATGTTGAGCCTAGAGCATAAAACCACTGAACAAGTCCTGCTACCTGTCAGTCAAATGTTCATTGTTGGCCACCATTTGCTTCTAGGGGTTGTCATTTGTTGCCAACCCATGCACAAAATGAGAGAGCAAGTTCCAGTGAAGGATAATGATGCCACGGATCTACCTCATTCAGACTCAAATTGACCCATTTCTCTCATGCCCATCAAGCTTGCTCCCACAGCAGGGCATGCAAAATGTACAGAATCTGTCACAGCTGGGTCCCAGGCTCAACTTCACCTCAACCATCCATTGCAGCTGGGTCCCAGGCTCAGCCTCATTTACACAATCCATTGCAGCTGGGTCCCAGGCTCAGCCTCATTTACACAATCCATTGCAGCTGGGTCCCAGGCTCAGCCTCATTTACACAATCCATTGCAGCTGGGTCCCAGGCTCAGCCCCATTTACACAATCCATTGCAGCTGGGTCCCGGCTCAGCCTCACTTGGGGCACTTCTGAGCAACCAGAAGCCTTCTCAGCAGTCATTTGTTACATTGGATCTAATTTCTTTCACACACTTCCAACTACAACTGCATTAACATGTTTGTGTAACATGTAACAAAATGTTTGTGCATAGCACAGTGAAAAAATCACCCACGAACCATGGTCATATTTCCTGTTACACCTCATGCTTATCACTTTGAGGTGACTTACACAGTATTTGTTGCTGTAAGTCATGTAAAATCTGCATTTTGGATGAAGCATCCAGACATGTTTTTTTTACTTATTCCAGTTGCACAGATCATCAGGATTATTTCTTCAGGCAACCCAACCTTGCTTGGTGCATTCCCGGTACAGCTGAAACCCTTCCAGACCCTCTAAATAAACTGAATGTAGTGTTATATGTATAAACGTATATATATATATATATATATATATATGAATGCAGTATATATATATATAGTATATACATATATATATATATATATATATATATATATATATACATAGCATGCATATCTAAACCTCAGCATTACAAAATTACAAGTTTTTACTCATGCTCGCCATCTACGCACTCCGGCTATTGTTACGCGCGTCTCACTTTTAAGATTCCAGTAGGTTACCACGGCAACATTTCTAGCACACCTGATACGAATAGTAATTCAACGCTTTTGTTGCCAACAATCATCTCAATCCATCATCTGTTCACTTATATACAAAATACATTCCCAACCTTTGCACTGCTCCCCCGCCGGGCGTCTGCTACTCCACACGCGTATTCATGCAGCGCGCAGGGCAGGTAGCGCGTATTCATGTAGGTATGAAAGTGTCATTCGTAGAGAAAATCTACTGCGAAGCTTCCAAATAAGACCTTTTCCTTTCCTTCCTTGCAAGTACGCAAATTACGAGGCTATCCAGTTTGCCCGAGCCCGGCTGCTGAGTACTGGCGCTTCTGAGAGCGGCGCCTGGCTGAACGCTGTGCCATCGGCCAATCTCGGTGCACTTATTGACAACACGACGTTGCG